ATAATGTAACGGATGATGAGTTAAGAATATGTTCACAGAAAGTATAAATTAAGAGTATAAAGTATAAATTGTTACTACAAAATACGAGTAGACACTTAAGACTAGAATGTGACACGCAGCACATTCCTACAAGCAGCGCGACAACCCTTCCTTTATCACACTGTGCTCCGGCAGTGACATCACACTCCCTCACTGCTCAGGCGCAGCCCCCCTCCGCCCCCCCCCCCTCCTTCCCCCCCTTTTCCGCTTCACGGCTTCCCTGACAATGCATCGGCTGTGCTTTTTTGCTGTGCTTTTCTTTGTGTTTTATATTTTTCTAAGGCGCGTCCGTTTTCACCCTGAACGGCCCTTGTGGCTTCCGTGACGAAACATCTGAGGTGACGCGTCGCAGCCAATAAAAGATTATTCATTGTTTCGCGCCTACAGACTGTAGGCTTTGGTTCATGGGACAGGGGAATTTAGGTGCCGTTTCTCGAGGCCTCAAAAGCTGATAACGCCGGTTCGCTCCATGAAAAAGTCAATGCTTTCGCGCTAAAACCAAAGACGGAATCCGAATCACAGATCAAACGTGCGTGTGCAGTGCCTTATATTACATCCAGTGTTTGACTGTTTGTCTATCTTGATAACGATGTCAGAGTTTTTTATATGCCAAAAAAGAAAACATAATGTGAACTTCTTACATTGCCGCAATTTTTATTAATAATAATGATACAATTAAAATGCCTTAATGCGTAGTTTTTCAAGCTCTAATATAATTTGTTGCCTAGAATCTAATTTCAAGCACGCGAACAAGTATTGCAAGCAAAAGTGTACAAATTATCATCAGTGGTGTCAATTTCAGCATTTTAATTAACAAGTTATGAAGAAAACCTAGTATAAAATCAATTAAAGCATTTTAGCAAATCTAAGAAACCCATGTAAAATGACAATAACTGTGGGTAAAGCATATGATGGTATGAAATTTGCCACTTTTGGCAATCGGCAAAACTTCTAAAGTCCCCTAAGGAATATATATATATATATTTCACTTATTAATATTCTCAGAACATTTCGTTTTTTTTTTTTAATTTTTACCCACCATTGTTTTGGCAATCTCAGCCTTTCCAATTCTGAGGAACCCCTAGCCGTTTGCGCGTCTGCTCACTGCAGCACGTTTTGTTTTCGTTGGAAAGCAATGCAACAGTAGTGAGTTTTAGTAGTATGTATATGAACGAACGCAAGCACTGTGAGTTTACGTTAGTATTGCGTGTTGCACACTGCGCGTGCGCGGAGGCCAAAATTCCAGCCTTGGATTAGAGCATGGCGACGACGCGCGTGCGGAACATGGAACACGCAACTCTAACACAAATGCACAGCGCTTGCGTTTGCTTCTCTATGCAATAAAAAACATCTCTACTAAGGTGCAATCCCCTACCAGGTGCAGAACTACATTGGGATGGTAAAGAGTGTTGTTTACATTCGGGAATGGCATATCGCGAGGCATGACCGCGAGCAGTTCCGCCGTGCCCGCAGAGCAGGAGAGCCGGTGGAATCTCACCATGGCCTCCGAGATGGGATATCGGAGGACATGCCCTCACTTGAGCGCTTCCCGTGGTGCTAGAGTCCCTCAGCTCTGGGCAACGGTCAATTTTTGTTTTGTTTTTTCGAAACCACTAAGCACGGAACCTCGAGGATTTGTAGGGCACTTCACTACGCTTCGTTTGCTGGGTACATTTTGTTTTTGGTACACCGGAGACTACGTCCGGTGCGAAAAATGACCTTATCCAGCCTCTTGTGAGTAATATATTTAAACATCGTCTTTTTTATTTTTATTTTTTATTTTATCACGAGAGGGATTGGGTCTTTTGGCGTCGCTGACTGAACTCTAAGCAAAAACGGTTAAGGCTTTTTTTTTTTTTCAGAACAACTTAGTTTTAGACTTTAAGGATTATGCTACAGTAATAAAAAAACGTTGAATGAAATGTAACGTGGGGAGTAATCGATTACTTTAGAGCAATTTCTCGATTACTTTTTTGGAGCTGTAATTGTAATTGTAATCGGTTACTTTCTTACAGTGAAGTAATTGTAATTGCAATCGGTTAGTTTTTTTCAGTAACGTGTACAAGTTTAATCAAACGGCGGCGTATGTGGGTACTTCAAGTTGCATAGGCCGTTCGCGTGCATGATGAATCCGCTGCAGGATTAAAGAAAATTTCGTGGTGAATAAATGCGCGCAAAGAAATGGCTCTGCCGCTTCACGCGCATCGTGAGCGCGTCCTTCGTGCACTCGCTAAGTGAAAAGATCTGCTTGCACCAGGAAGAAGAGGGAGAGGCTGATCACCCCGCGGATATGTGGTTGCATCCACCATGCTCTGTTACATGTAACCGCTGCGCGAAGTGCTAACGCATTTATTTGAGAGGCAGCTCAGCGGCAGCAGTGATTTCGGTCCATCTTTTTAAACATCCTTTTCCTTAGAGTAAATGATTACATGTAGTGTGTTTCTTCTGTCGCACAAGAAAATATAAGTTTTGCCGCTGCGTTTCGACCAGGTAAATAAATTGTAGTTTATTTTTTTTACGTGACAGTGCTGGCCACGTAATTGGTGTTAATGCATGCTATTTCTTATGATAGAGGGATAAACTTTGCTAACTGTGCTCCAGCTAGGGGACCCATCAAGGCGTGGACTGCAGCTGCTGCACACGATCAGCACCACCCAAATTGAAGCATGTGAACAGCCTTTTTCTTCTGCCTCCTTGTGACGTCATCATACCCGAATGCTGTCAACTCACAAATTACGCTTTGTCCCAAAACTGAGCGTGCTTTCACGAATTGGATGAACACGAAGCCCTTCTGCTCACAACGCAGCGCTCGAAACCCTTTCTCTGCGTAAGACCTCAGTTCTGTGATGACGTAAAAAAAAAATAATGCCCGGACTTTGATAAATCTAAGTGGTTTTATTTGACACGCTACCAGCTACAGACATAAAATAATTTAAAAAGAAAACTTTAGACGCAACTTGTTGTTCTCTCTTAAACTTAAAAAAAATAATAATTTTTTTTTTAACCGAAGAACGAGAGATTGTAGCTATTGGAAGCGCTTCACATCTCTATTGCAATCAGCCAAGAGCATATATTATTTGTCTCACAGTGCAACAAGCACGACGACAAATAAATAAATTTGTTTTTCTTTACTTTGATTCGCAGGCATTGTTCTGCGTGGGAAGCGCGCCCGGGTACATCGATGTTCTCCAGTTTCAAGAACTTTCAGATGCCTCCTTCACGCCCCACGTACCTACTGACAACGAAGAAGAGGTTGTGGCAATCCTGTACACGTCAGGATCAACGGGTCTTCCGAAGGGCGTGGAAACATCGCACAAGGCATACTGTGCCGCGTTTCACACCTTCAGGTATGAGCGGTGATCAGTGTTGAAAAAAACTAACCAGTTCTTAGAAGATACAAAGTATATTATGTCATACCAGCAGCCTTTTTGTTTGTTTTGTGTACGGAAGCCGGCACATTCTGAATGTATGGTTTCTCAAATCTGGTAAGAAAGACGCACGAGTATATAATATATTTTGCTTAAAACAGCCTTAAAGCGCTCCTGAAAAGAAGAAAAAAAAGCTTTTTTAAACAGTCTGGTTGGGACACGCGTGCCGGAAAATAAATTTTAGGTGAAGAAAAAAAAAAACTTTTAGAGCAATATAGACGGTGAGAGATTTGGTTGAGATTCTGCACGCAAACTTCATGACGTCAAGGAATGGTCATTCGCTTAACGATATGGTAAGTTGCCCTTTCCACCCCAACGTGAAGGCGAAGCCGATTCACCTCTCCTCCCCGCGCCCGAAATGCCGGCGAGAAAACAAGTGGAAAGGAGGTGACTACCGACTAACTTGAGTTTCGGGCCATCACAGGTTAATTTTTTTTTCTTTTCATGGCTTTTATAAGTTAAAAATATCTCTTTCGGCCTGATCGAGCACCAAATTATTTTATTTACATGAACACTGGTATACTGAAACTAATCAATTGCCTGATATGCAAGGTGAATTATAGCATCTAAATTTCACCCTGCTTCAACCATTTCATAACGCTGTGAAGCCGTGGGGGAAGCCGTAACATTAAATATTATCTCACGAGATCAGTCGCATAACTCAAGTTTTCTTAAGCACATCACATCTAAAGATTAAAGCATGTAAAGAAACAGAGGTGCCGTATATTTATGTGTTGTTTGTTCGTTTTGTGTTTCTTTGAGTTTTGCACGTTTTATGAGCACATTTATTCTAAAGACAACTTCGTATTTTAAAGAAGGTGAAGAACACGATGGGGAATTAATGGTGCACACGACCATACAGCGAGGTTCCACGTACTGGCCCTTCGTGCGTAATTTGTTTCTGTGCTCTCTCATCTTGTTTTGTTGTGTTTTGTTTTGTCCTCTCTGTTTCCGACCGGATTACTATATATTACTTTATACAACTGTATTTTTTTAAATTAATATATTACTTTGCATTAACAATATCGAAGAGTTAAAAATATACGAAGAGTTAAAAATAGCTTCCGGGTAGCAAAGAAACCTTTTTTTGATTTTTAGGCGGCTGTATTTATCATCCTTGAGTTTATATAAACCGCTTTTTTTTTTTATTTCAGGTCTGCTGGAGCTTGCACTGAAGAGGATGTTTTCCTTTGCTGGAATCCTTTCACCCACGGGACGGGTTTTTCAGTAGCCATGTTTTGCATGTTTTCAGGAGCAAAAACAATCATAACCGATCCTTTGATTCCGTACAAAAGTTTCCTGGAGGTTTTCAAGACCCATAAAGTAAGAAATTTTATGTGAAAATAAGAATGAAAATAATTTGTAAGTATAAATTGTCTGTGACCAGCCGCATAAATTTTCTATGAAGGAGCAGACTGTGGCTCAATCGCATGGTAAATTTGGACCCAAAACTGCTTTTGCTATAAAATAACTGTTGAATTTTTATTATTGCCAGGGGACATTAAGCTATTTGACGCTGTTAATGTTCCTTTTAAAGTAGTAAATACTGAAAAAACTGGCCGTAAGGGCAGTATCGTCCATGCTTTCTTTTTTTGTGATATTTTTTTCTTTTTTTTTACTTAAGGGTTTTGTGTTTTTTGACGCTGAGTAACTGTCGAAATGCGTGAACGCACCTACAAAAACGTATTTATGGTACTACCAATCTCGCGGTTCACGTTATCTTTTTTATTTATTTATGCAGTATTTACCTTCAGACATGATTACACTATATAAAACGAATCCGCAAAAATGTAATTATATGCACGAAATAAAGAACCCAATGAAAAGAGAAATGGTATGAAAAGAATCTAATAAAAACACTTGAAAAGCACTATGAAAATTGACTATAGATATGACCGCTTAAGTGAAGGGCAGGTAGCATAATAAAATGCTTTCAAGCGCCACACCAAGAACGAACACGATTATCAAAAGGATCGACTGACCTTGACATTGATGTAGTAAAACAATGACACAACATACAGTGACCGAAGCACACAAGGAATGTATAAACGTGCCCAAAAACCATAAATAATATAATAAAAATCTGCTGGCAGGCAATGCAAATGTGATGTCATGATGTAAAGGATATTCCCCAACAAGATTAATAAATTTTAAAAACTAACATGCAAACTTGTTGCTACTCTCCATGCAGTGAAGAAGAATGACCGCCTGATATTCGAATTGTATTCCGGAGTTAGTTCTTATTGTTGCTGCCTTTCTAAGCAATCCTTGAATTGTGTAATGCAGTGCTACGTTAGCTGGTCCAGTTGAGCTGAGGTCTGGTTTCTATCTTAGAGGAAACAACTTAAACAAAAACAACTGATGCCAGGCACCTTTTTTATTTAGTTCAATACACCATTTATCTTTTAGAAACACCCGTAGCCAAACACTAAGGCTGCGTTGATAACATCGTAGCTACGTTGATGATAATATCTACCTTAATTTAATACTGGTCACGCTCAAGCTTTTATTTCTTGTGAATTGTTAAAAGCACAAAAGCCGAAGATCACCATATGATTTCAGTCAACACAGAACTTTCCCTCAAATTTGAAAATTTTAGCATGCTCGTCGAACTCGCGGAATACCCAGTTTAATACGAGTACAATTCTTGTCCGCAACCATTTCGTATACTGAAACACTGAGGCGTGATACTCAACAAACTTACCCAAAACATTTTTTCGAAAAAAAAAAAAAGTGAGCGCCAGATACCAATATACACTTTCATACATCCGAAAACTGTAGATTTCTTCATTTCTTTTATTTTTCAATAGAAGTTTGATTCGTAAAACATTAAAATCAATGCCTGTCCTTCCTCTCTCTCTCTCTTCATCTTATCTTTTTTTTTTTGTCGCACTTACTTTGTATTTAGGTTCAAAATGATGCTTATTAATATTAGTAATAATACAAATTTTTGCTTTTAGTCGATTTTTTTTTTACTTTAGCGAAAACAATCTCACACGCTCATACCAATTTTATTATGGAGATTTAAATTTCTAAAAAAGAAAACGTTAACCGATATTAATTTTATATTTTCTTCTATTTATCGTTTGTCTATCGTTTCCCAATCTCCACGGACACTTATCTTGTATTTATAGCAATGAAGGTTCAAGCGAGAAATATTTATATCACCATTTTTTTCGAAACACATCTAAGAACAAAATCACCCTTTTCCAGATGATATGGGTTTAATAGTATATATATCTTATTTTAGTATAATGAATCTATTTCAAATGAAACAAATTTATTTGTGCTAAATTTTAAACAAAATCATGTTTTTTTTGTTTTTTTTCGTCTTTCTTGTGAGTTTGCTTCTACTACAACGCCAAAATAAGAAATAACTCTTGATTTGTTTCTTATTATCACGCTTGTATACCATAAACTTCGAAAAATCGTTAAGAAGGGTAGGAGAAACTGATTAAACGCACCGACTGTTATGCATTAGCTGGTCGGATTTGTTTATCCGGGTTACCGCCTGTTAGGTGAAAAAAGTACAGAGCTTCAAGCAGCTTTTCTTTTCGATTACATTTTGGTATAGACCAACAAAGAATCGAGACGACCAAGACGCGCAGCACTAGCTAGAGAATTGTTTTGTTGTTGAAACTCGCACCAGTTACGAAAATCTGGACGACCCGCGCATTCAGAATGTTCCAGGCAAAAATATGAATGGAAATCAGGCTGGAAAGCATCACAAGTTGTCACAGGCACTTATTTAGCCAGTCTGCCTGTGAACGTCGATTTCGACACCATTTTTGCCCTGGACTAGCTCCGTAATCACAAAGTCACTAAAACCTTGTGCTTGATTTAGAGACAGTGCATTCGGTGCAGAACGAAGTTTTCTTCCTGCTCTGAGCAGTGCTTTTAAAATAAAGCCGGAGGAGAAAAAGAAAAAGCCCCATGGCCAAATAAAGGATGGAGACTATATCTTACAACCACATGCATGGAAACAAGATGTATTTTCGCCCACAAAATTGTATTTAATTACAATTGTAGTTGAAATACCCACGTTTTAGTATTTAAATACACACGCCAAATACGGGAACGCGACAGAACAGCACACGACAAAACAGCACCTGACAAAACAGCACGGTCAAAACAGCACGCGTCAAAACAGCACAGCGTCATATCAGCACGGCGACAAAACAGCACGCGTGAAAATAGCGCGCGACAAAACAGCACGGCGTCAAAACGGCACAGCGACAGAAGAGCAGGTGCCAAAACAGCACGGCGTCAAAACAACACAACGCAAAAGCAGCACGCATGTAAAACGACTGTAATAGGTACCGTTTTATGAAAACAAAACAGAACGTAAAGGAAATGGGTTGGACATTGCATGGCATTATTTAACAGCTAGTGGAGAAAAAAAAAAAAAAAACGTACGCTGGTGGCGACGGGATTGCACGTGCATTTTTTTTTACTTCAAACGTTATATTCAGGGTTCAGCGTTTTCGGGTTAAAGCGAATATAACCGGTAAAAGTACGCCGAATTCATTTTTCTACGTTCAGGCTTAACTGAAAAAGTTCAGAATTTTCCAGGGCGTTTGGAGTGGTATGTGTGTTTGCGTGTGGCCGGGGGGGGGGGGGGGGGGGGGGGGGATGGGGCTCATAACTACGTTTTCGTGTGTTCGGATAAATTCGAAAAACACCCGCCGGTAAAAGTTTCGTCTATCCGGATTTATCTGATAAACTCTGAATTTCGACATGCCAATCCCCCCACCCGCCCACACACACACACACAAACACACAAATATATTTTACAATTTATGGTTTAATCAGCGCGTAGAGTAAATGTCCTGGGAAAATGCCACCACAGATATCTTTCGAATTTCGGTCAGGACAACAGGTCAATGTACTACCGGGTCAAGACAAAAGTTAGTGTTTATGTTTTTGGTTCGGGTCATACTATTTGTGCCTGAGGGGAAGGAGAGGTTGTGTTTTTGTAACCGCGAAAGCTATGGACCATAGAAATTATATAAAGTGAAAAAGAGGACAGTTGAAAATTCTCTATTACATTCTTTTCCACTCTATCTGTTGCGGCCGCGCCGTAGGTTGATGGAATATCATGGAATAAATACAGGCTTCCCAGCTACTACCTCCAGTAGGTCATTGATTTTAAGGTATCGACGTTTGTCGAAATAACACTTGTGTGCCACTTTTGTTCTAGGACAAATTAGTATTGCCAGTAGTAATGGCACCAACGCCAAATCCAACTGAAGAAAATATTATTTGATACAATCGGGTTTTTTTTTTTTTTTCGTCCAGCATACGTTTACATTTGAATATTGTTTGTTTATTTTTAATAAGAAACACTGCGAATTTGAGCTCCAAATTTCGGAGAATTTGGAATAAAAAAAAAAATAAACTCTGATAAACTCCGAATTTTCGGTTAAAAATAAACTCTGAAAAACACCCTCCGAACTTGACGAAAACTAAACTCCGAAAACACGGAACCCTACTCATTACTGACCATATGACAACTTCCTTTCGCAGTTTTCAGTTTGTTTGCAAGATCGGTTCAACTTTCAACATAAGCTTCGGGGGCGCAGGGGTCCCAGGACGAAATCTGGGTTTTTCACCTGATAGGGATTTGTGCCGAATTCTTCGTTAAAAGAAGAGAGTCTAATCGTGAAATTAAACAGCGAAAATCAAGTGTGTCCGTAGATGCCGCGCATTGTTTAACACCCCTAGCTTCCGTCTATTAGAGGAGGGCATAAATACGAGTGTTTTATTGTCATTTTTGCCGTCGGCGCGAATTTATCACCTCTCGCAGTCGTGAAAATGGGGGAAAACGCACAGAGTACAATGCTTGCTAATTTCTCCATTTTGATATTTGCCTCTCCGACCAAAGTGGTACTGAAGCTCATGCTCGTCCTGTGTACAAATACGAGCACACGACGATCATGTCAGATACGATAAGGCCCCAGTCCATTTTACAGAACAGGTCGCGTCGGCTGCCAAAGACGGCAGCAAATAAGAAGACCAGTACGTGGTACTCAATATACCTTTTACACACACGCTTTTAATTATTGCATTTTCGTTAGTATGCTGGTTTTCGTCAATAAACCTAATATAACTGAGAAGTTTATGAGTCTACAAATATTCACCGCAATAAACCGAAAACTTTTGTTTGGAATAAAAACCGAAAAAAGTGCGTGGAATTTCAAATAATAGAAACCGAAAACGCCGAACCCTAGTTATATTGTCAATGTCATGTTTTGACGCTGTGCTGTTTTGTTGCTGGGCTGTTCTGACGCTGTGCTGTTTGGGCGCCGTGATGTTTTGACATGTGCCCTTCTGTCGCTGTGCCGTTTTGACGCTGTGCTGTTTTGTCGCGTGCTATTTGGACGCGTGCTGTTTTGTCGCCGTGCTGTTTTGACGCTGAGCTGTCTTGACGCGTGCTGTTTTGACCGTGCTGTTTTGTCGCGTGCTGTTATGTCGTGTGCTGTTCTGTCATGGTGCCGCCAAATACATTAACCAGTTTGTAATTAAGTACAAATGCAAAATACACAAAGTATTTGAAATACGTATTTCAAATACTTGTTTTTGAAATACAGGCGCAACCAACAGCGCAGTCAAGGCTACGGCATGGGCGTAGCCAACATTGAGGTAAACGTCATCACCATAGCCCCCTTTTGTTTGTTTTTACTTCTCCGGGCGAGCGTAGCGCATGACGTCAGCAACGGTTCCTCTCGGCGCTCAGCGGTGTCCACATGATTGCCGTAACGCGCCTGCGCAGCGCGCTTCATGGAAGCCATCCGGCCACCCGCCGTGGTCTCGCCGTTACCGCCATTTCTTGCGTCACAACCGCCGCCGTCGTCTCACCGCTTGTGATTATTGTTTCTCAGAGTTTCGTCCACACTACGAAGACTACGCGCGCAGACTTATGCCGCAGTTTTCCAGACGTCGTCGAATGTCGTAGATACCAAAACGTTGTAAAGAGTGCGGTGCAGACGACACTTGCGCTTGGCAGACGCCCGCCTCAATCCCGCTCGTCGTTGCGTAGAGGATCACGCGACATCTCGTACCACGTGATGGCCATGTTCTCGGGGGCCCAAGGGCAATGTTGCCGAACAGAGCCGACGTTTCGTTCCGATTTCCGCTCGTATTTAAAATTAGATTTAAAAATATAACTAACCCATTTTTCGAGAAGCAAACAACGTACTGTGTTTTACTGGGGCTTCTTAATACGAAATCACTCAATATAAAGGAATCTTTGGAATTGAGCGGAGTTGCCCTTTAAGATAAAAATATTTACTGCCAGGACCTCCGCCGAACACAATAATGTTTTCGGGACCGGAACGCCGTGTTCAATCTACACGCAGTATCTAAGAGGCACTTAAATTAAGGCAGTAACTTTTTTTACTTTTTTGATCTCGCAGGTTTCTCTTTTTATTGGCATTGCGGGTTGGATGCAGTATATTGCCAAAGAAGTAAGAAAAGACAACGCTCGTGTGCCTCGTGTAAAAAAAATCATGATGAGTGGTTCAGTGATCCCGATCAAGCTTGCACAGGAGATTCGTGAAATATTCGACGTCGAATCACTTCTCAATATCTACGGCATGACTGAAACGTTTGGTTTAATGTGCAGCTCACCTGTTGGACAAATTACCTTCGATAACAGCGGAGTTCCTCTTGCCGGTATAAAAATCAAGGTATGCCTGAAACTCATCGGATTGTACACGTGTTCTTTTTGTTAGGTTTAAAATTTGCCATAGCAGTGTAGTGTTCCGTTTATTACTTACTGACGAAGATCAGCAAGCAAATGATTTACAAGCAGCAACGAATTATTTTAGGGATAAGAGGTACGATAAAAAAATTCTGAGACTAATTTTGTACCTTAAAAAAAGAAAGTTACGCGCAGCACTCAAAGGCAGGGATCTTTTTGTCTCATTGTGCCAAAGGGCCCCATTCTGTGAACATTTGGAGGTGCGCTACACGAGCATTTTGCGGCCATGCGCGAGGACTTAATGCGGTTTCACCATAGACTTCAAACCAGATCATGAGAGAACACAATCCTGCTTGAAACTTGTGCGAATTCATATCAACTGTTTCTGTTCTAGCTTTGACGAGTTCGACACAACATTGATATTTGCTCTCCTTCTGGTTTGCAGCCTATAGTGATACCGCCATTGCGCCTGTGCACGTGGTCACAAGAACTCGTATACCGCAGCCCCCAAACGATCACATTACCCTTCATCATGAGACGCCTTTAAATGTTGCGCGCGCGTTACCTACAAAATCAGTGTCGTACTCTTTGATCACACTTCGTATATGATTACTAAAATCTATAGAAACGCACAATCAAACTTCAAGTTCTCGTGAGCTTATACACGTGATAATCAGGGAATACTGCATCGCAATGTGTTTAGGAGCTTACAGACGTTCGATGTAACATTGTAACATCGGCACGCCTAGAGATACGCCTCGCAATGGATACTTGTACGTACGAATAAAAATATGATGCTAAAACTATTTGGAAAGTAATTTAGCACACTTTATATTCATTTTAGAACACAACTACGTACAGATATTCAGTGAGCACGAAACGACTAAACTCGCGAGTAAACTTTAACATGGCACCACCTGAATATGATGATATCTGATCTGTGTGGTAGAGGCTGGCTCACAAATTTGGGCTGGAAAGTGATCGAGTGTGCCCTGGTCGCTTGTAACCGCCTACCACGAGACATCACAAAGCGTTTCCAACTGCTTGACCGGGGTCATGTGGTTTGTGTGGCGCGTTTTGCAACACGATCCGCGACGAGGTGACGAAAGCGATGATCGTCTGCGAGCGTCTCTGCCTTTCCGCCTGCTTTCCTTCTCGCCACGCGACAACGCAGCGTGTGCGCCCTTGCGAACAATAAGCGTAAAAACAAAAAATAAAAAAAAGCAAACGCTCTTCATTGTTTCAAATGGACTATCTCTCTTCATTCTAGGCTCTATAGAACAGACCGACACACTGACGCCATCGGTCGGGCAGAACCAGGGTGTACGATAGACAGGTGGCGAAACGAGAGCCAAATGAGCGACCGGATTGTGTTCCCCTCGGGTTTCTTTTTTTCTGTGGCGCCATCTATGTGGAGCACCGCGAACTCTCACTCCGGGTGGGCGACCGGTGGCGGCCGGCTAAACTGACGGAGGTGGTTTCTCGTGGATTTTCAATGAAGAACTGTCGTGTTCTCGGGTTACTTTGCGCTCTCTCCCATAAAGTTCCATGCGAATCCGATTCCAATTTTTTTCTTCTCGCCGCAGCGCCATCTGTCGCAAATCGGGAGTACCCGCAAGCAGACGAGTACACATTCCGGTCACGGCGCTGCGGTAGGCTTCTATGGGCCGTTTCCCCACCTGTCCATCTTACACCCTGGGCAGAACACTTTCGATCTGAGTCATAGGTTTTGCAGTATTTGGATGATCCAATCTACGGTTCCTGTAGAAGAAATGGTCGGGTAAAGCAATACTATAATTATTTTTGAAGTTCATGGAAAAAGAATAATACAAAATATAAGCAATTATATAGGTAAATCGCAGGTGTTTCAGGGCTGCCCGATAGAGTGCGCCGACTAACTAGTGAAATGTCATGCTTTAAATACCCTGGGTAATGGTTGGGTGTTTGAAAATCCAGGGACAGGTCTTTCAAAATTCGATGCTGTTCATCAGCAGAACTTTGATGTTTTCGTTCACTTCGTTTAGTAAGCTTTTCCTGACCACATACGACCTATTTTTTTCAATTCACAATGAGTGCTACCTGACCTTGCTTGAAGCATTCAAACCTGCTTTTGAATCATCATTTCGCCCATTGAATTTATTTGTCTATTCATTTTGTAAAATTTTCGATGCTTTTTCTGGCTCTGCATAATAAAAGATTTGCCGTTTTTTAAAAAAAAAAAATGTTATCACCGACTGGACTTCGGAAGTTTAATGGGTCATTCTTTTGACTTTAATGGGAGAATTAGCAAGCACACACCGAAATCATGAAGAATATGTCACAGAACTACGTCAAGTAGCACTAATCCACATACGAGGCCATACTCATGCGGGACACGGAAGTAACTATTTTTGCGGGACAAATCCGCGAACGGTACTTGCATACTGAATGCTGCATATATTTTATATTGTTATCTCTTGTGCGAAATAGTGCTTCGTGATTGGGTTGCCTTGAATTACATTACTATCACCCCTATTATTTGAAACTTTCACGCCGTGAAAATAGCCTTTATTCAAGTAGCTGAGTGAATGTTTGCAATCAGACCGTTCGTTAAAAGAGTTTGTCACAACCATTTGACTATTTTCGGAAACGGCGGTGCGGCTGTTTCTTCTAACAAATACTGTTCTACTATAATAATGAAGTTGATGGCCTAATATAATGTTCCAGGTTATAGACATAAGCAGCGGCGAATCTCTCGGCCCGTTTTGTAATGGCGAGATTGCGGTTCACGCCCGAGGGGTCATGAAGGGCTACTTTGGGCGTCCCGAAGCTACTGCTGAAGTCTTCAGCAACGATGGATGGCTTCGTACAGGTATGACGTGCTTGTTTTTTTTTTTTTTTTTCTTTTTTTATTCAAAAATCAAAATAATACAGGATTCTCGGTCAGACCCAAATATTTCTTTTGCGCCTAAATAGTCATGGATCTGGAGTGTTATTATGCACTTCCTTTTGTTCACTAACCCATAGTGCATCCGGTCAGACCTCTATATAACGCTGTAAATCTGTATTGTAAAATATTTGGACATGATATGGGGCAAAGATTAACCATATAACCAGTTTCAAAACTCCGCGGTTTGGTGTTCAGCCAACAATGTTGACAAAGATATCCCGGGCTTCATTAATATATAAAGTTTTCCCATGACGTCACAATTCACTACAATCCTACTTGGTTTGCCATCGCTGTGCGCTAGATGTGCGCACGAACGGGTGCTGGAGCGCATTTCTAGACACTCACCTACGATTCTTGAGCAATGGAATGGGGCGTTCTCCCATTTCTGTGTTGTTATGCATATGAACGATAGTCATTGTGCATTTTCTAACGTTTATGCGCTCAGTGGAGCGAGCGTTCGTTACAAAAGAAATCCCGATTTAGGCAAGTTATCATCCTTTTCGGCTTGTGTTCGACCACCTCACGAGGCCGCGAACCCTACACAACACCTGCCGCAAATCGCCGCCTTGACAACACCGATGACAGATGAGGAGTGTCTACTTCTCTGTTGAGGCATCGGTTCAAGCTCGGCAGGGCGTTAAACCAATCAATTACAACTGGTTTGTATAGGCTTCTTATATTAAATAAGTGTTTTCATGAGTGCGTTTAGTGAAATTTCAGCTCCAATATAATTCGAATCGAACAGTGCCAAATAGTGGGCCAAAATTTAAGTTCAAGTTAAGTTTTTTTTTTTTTTTTTTTTTTAATATTGAATGCAAAAATTTCTATTTGCAATGCACAAAAACTAAACAAAAACCGCGTGCAAAAAATCCACTTGCGTGCCTATTTTACTGTAAGCCCACTGAACAAAGAGCGATAAATACTGACAAGATTGCATTTTAAATTTCAGGAGATTTAGGCTACTACGACGCTGAAGGTCGGATCCATGTTGCTGAGAGATTGAAACAGATGATAAAATGCATGGATAATGTCGTTACCCCTGCGGAGCTGGAAGAAATTTTGAACAACCACGAGGCTGTCGCAGAGGCCGTAGTTGTGGGAGTTCCAAGCTCGACCTATGGCGAGGCTCCGACAGCCTGTGTCGTTGTCAAGGACGGCTTCGAGAAAAACCTCGAGAGTCTGGCGACAGAACTGAAGGAACTCATTGCTGGTATATGTCATGTTCCTGATATTCCAACTTTGTTTTTGGTGTGATATGTGCTGTCTAACTTGCACAATTCAAAGCTTAACTTTTAAGGTTAACGCACAAATCTGGTTTTGGGAAAAGTGGCCTATGAGCTCTAATCATTAATGCAAAATGATAACTAGAAACCTCTAGGGTGCCTTTCCCTCTGCCGTCTTTACGAACGCTCCCCCTCCTTCTCCCCTTTATCCCCCACCCCTCTGCCTCCAATTAGCTGGTACCAATTACCTGAGAGGCTTTGTATTAATCGGCACTCATACCTACAACGCGCTACTACGAGACAGACCAGACATTATCAGCCACACTTACTGGCACCTTACTTTGCTTGCACCAATCTTTTTAAATTTTTTTTTCCCAGCAGAATTAGTGACTGGAATTCTCTTCCCACTGAGTTAGTTGTTTCCTCCCCGTTCATGACAGTATCACGGAGGGGGAGGATCAAATAAGGATATGAAGGCTCTGTCGAGCAGAGCCTCCCCCAGCGAGAGTCCCGCCCGTTGGATTAGGGCCGTCTTATATAGCCTGCGGGAATGGACGCGCCCGGGGTGGGTCGGATGTAGGTGGCTCGCCGGAGGGGCGGACCCGTCCAAGCCATGATCCCGAGGGGTGTGCCTTAGGCGAACCACCCGAGAAGGACGAGGGAAAGCCGCCCACCAGGGAATACGGCTTCGCCCTCGCATCCGGGACGCGCCCCCACGTGGCGACGTCCCACGGCCTGCCTGAGCTAGGCCTAGATAAGGATGCGGGGAACCCGTCGTTCCCACAATACATATATATATATATATATATATATATATATATATATATATATATATATATATATATGTATATATATATATATATATATATATAAACCGCTTAAATGTAACTTTAATGGCTTTTTTAAGCAAATGTGTAAAGCTTAAGGAAACACTGTATATACTGTATAAATATTGAAATTATACTCAAAAGAAAGAACATAATTGGTGCTTTACGGTGATATAAAGATCATAAAAATATGTTGATTAGGTCACACAGCACAGCTTGCTGAACTTCGTCAAATATCGTCACAAAGAGGCGGTTTGACAAATAAAAAAAAATCATTAAGAATGTTATGACCTAGACGCTTAATTAGCATGAAAAGCCTATGTCTAGAGTGTTCCCGAAAGTTATATTGATGTAGCGTAAAAAGTAGGGAAAACTGATGGAGTGAATTATGGCACCTCCGATAGGCTGGAAAAACATCAATTTCCACCTTGACCGCTTCAACGGTCCATAACTTGAGAACGAAAAATCCGACGAAATAACCGTTTGCGTCTTCTTTTATTATAGGAATTGCCCCAAAACATATATTGTTTTCGTCAAAATTGAAAATTCGACCCTAAATCCGTGCCTGAGTTGAGATGAAATCACCCATATATACAACGGGGATGGTGGCGGGGGGCCGAAGGCGTGGGTATAGAAGAAGAAAAGAACCCTTGGTGAAAACAGCAACAACGGACGATATAATCTTCGACGTTTCGGCCGAAACGTCGAAGATTAAAGTGTCCGTTGTTGCTGTTTTCCCTAAGGGTTCTTTTCTTCTTCTATATGAACTTAAATTCAGTTATAGAAGGCAAAACGTCCCATTCTGTAGAATGCATTATTTCTGCTGGGAAGAAATTAACTGGCGCGTCGTTGGCAAACACATTTAATGACAGGTTTGTTGATTTGCCTCAAATTAACTGTAGAGATGCTGCATGTGATAATATAACCTTTAAAACTAGGGATTCTGTTTTTCTATTGCCAGTTACTGATACAGAGGTGTCTACTGTCTTTATGGAATTAAAAAATAGCCATAGCTGTGATGCCGATGGTATGCAGATTCTGCCGGTAAAATATGTCTTACCACTGATCACTCCCTTCCTTACTTACATTTTTAATTTATGTTTTTCAACTGGGGCGTTTCCACAGCTTATGCAAACAGCTAGAGTGTCTGTGCTTTATAAAAAGGGAGACAAGAACGACATAAATAATTATAGACCTATCTCTATCTTACCGGTTTTTTCTAAGGGCTTAGAAAAACTTGTTCACATTCGTCTGTCAAATATTTTAATAAGTATCGCGTAATTATTAATGATCAATTTGGGTTCATGAAGCATCGTTCGACAGATCTAGCATTACTAGAACAAAAAGAATTTATTTTAGAGAGTTTTGAGGCAAACCAGATAGCTTTAGCCGTATTTATTGATTTTACGAAAGCATTTGATTATCTAAACCATAATTTATTCCTAAAAAAACTTTATCTTTATGGAATTCGGGGCCAAGCACTTACGTTGCTTCAGTCATATTTGAGTAATCGTAAGCAGTTTGTCTATTTAAATGGGTTTTCATCTAATACAAAGTCTGTTTTTTCCGGTGTACCACAGGGGAGTATCTTGGGACCTTTGCTATTTAACATTTATATTAATGATATTGTTAACATAGATTCTCTTGCTAAATTTGTTATATATGCAGACGCTACAACCCTTTTATTTTCGGCTAAGACTAGTGAGGAACTTATCAACTGCGCAAATGATACTTTAACAGGTTTGCAAAATTGGACATCCGACAACGGGCTTAAAATTAATAGTAGTAAAACCAAAGCAATTTTCTTTCAAACCAAAAATAAAAGCGTTTTTATAACGAAAAGTCTCGTAATAAATTCAAAGGTTATAGAGATAATGGAAAATTTCAAAAGTCTTGGCGTTATTTTTAACCAGTATTTGACTTGGGACGACCATGTAAGCTATATACTTCCTCGATTGTCCAGGGTCATCGGATTAGTCTCACGAAACCGTTTTATTTTACCAAACAACGTTAAACTACTTATTTATCAAACTCTATTTGCATCCCACTTAAACTACTGCCACCTGGTATGGGGTACAGTCACCAGTTCAAATCTACAAAAAATACATCTATTACAAAAAAAAATTGTTCGCCTCATTGCTAATGTTTCTTATATTTCAAGCTCCAAGGGCTTGTTTGAAAAATATAATTTGTTGCGTGTTTTCGATATGTATACAAATAAACTTGTGGTCCGTTTTAAGGTAAAACAAAAAAAAAACGTGGATATTCTGGCCAAACTTTCTAAACTAAGGGAACATGTTACCTCCTATCCAACTCGTTCGGCGGCACGTTGGGTTGTGCCTCTTTGCCATAACAACTATTCCATGCAGTCTCTAAAGTATATGCTGCCTACTTTACTAAATTTCCTCTTAAACAAAAACGTTGATATAATGTCTGTCACAATGCAAGATTTATTTTCTTATTTGAATTTATTACTTTTCTGCGATAGGTTATAATCTATTTTTGTATACAATGTTGATATTATTTTTGCTGTTGCTTTGTACTTCTAATCTGTCATGTGGAACTGTAAGGGAGCAGGGGGCTTCGTCAAGCTGTTAAACAGCTTTTTCCCTCTGTTTCCTCCATTCCTGTATCGAATGGGAAATAAACTTTATTATTATATATATTATACATATATATATATATATATATATAACACAGCCCATATTGGTTAAAATTTTTTGTTTGATACAGCTATTTTGCTTATCAGATGATTTCGAAGTATTAATTAAGAATTGGAAGGCACAAATAATAATCTTCAAAAAGGTAAAGTGTCAAGAAGACCATAAACATGAACGCACAAAGTATAAAAAGGAAGAAACACAAGCGGCGGTGTGTTGGTTACTTTCTATACTTACTGTGTTCGGGTTTATGTTCCAGCTGACATTTATACCAAACATGTACCAACTAGCTCAACTTGAGACTGTACCTCAAAAAAGTTCTGCATTCCATATTAAACCGGCTATTATCAATCGGTGCCCTTGGCTGTATTACATTAGCTGCTATTTGGAACTGACAATGAAGAGAAATAGTAGTCAATTTACTCCATACAATGCACAAGACACTAAAAAAGCAAATGTGCTTGGTATGCGCCATGCTTTTTCTTTAATTTTCGAAAATGACATGGAGACGAAACGTAAACGTCTTTCTGCTTTTTAGTCTGCAAAAAATATGGCTACATGATTGGAGTGTTGAGCTTGCGGGAAATTAATAAAATGATTATACGTTGTTTTTTTTTTCGATTGCAAAGCACAAGCAGCAGTGTTCAAGCAGCTGTATGGAGGTGTTTTCTTTATGAAAACTCTTCCCAAGTCCGAGAGCGGCAAGATCCTGAAACAAGAGCTCAAAACAAAGGTTGCCCATGAAATTGAAAAGTTAAACATATAGTTGAGCTTCTCAGACTCCACAACATACACGAAAACCAGCATGTAACCTGAGATGGTGTTCCCGTATTTCACTTGTAATAAACAAGAATAAATAAAAATGCCCCAGTTAATTCTTATGTTTGTGAGTCGGTTTCAATTCATGACTAGATATGATTAAGCAAAGTTCCATTAATGGCAGTATACACCAGTTTGCCTTTGATGAAGTGTAGTATTGTGTTGGGACGATCCGGTCGGCCGCAGACACTAAAAGAAGGCAAGACTATGAGAACACACAAACGATTTATGGAGGCCGGGCCATCACGTGAAGATTGGCGAAGATAGTCGTGCTCGGCAAATTAGCCTTCCACTTCCACTTTCTAAATGTTTAAAAGCCCCAACACGCTCAAATAGTATACAAATTAAAAAAAAAAAACATTTCTTAAATCTTGGGAGAGAAAAAACATCGAATAACAAATCGTCCATTGTTGCTGTTTTCACCAAGGTTTTTTTTCGTCTCAGTTATATACCCACGCCTTCGGCCTCCCGCCACCGTGCCCGTTATATATATATATATATATAGTGTATATATATGAGTGGTTTCATCTCAACTCAGGCATGAACTTGGGGTCGAATTTTTAATTTTTACAAAAAAGTATATGTTTTGGGGAAACTTCTTCTGTGACAGGGTTTGAAAACCGCAAGTTCGGGCGGTTTTTCGTTCTCGAGTTATGGACATTTTAAGCCGAGGCGCAAACTGACCTTTCTCTCGCCTGTCGGAGGTGTCATGTTTGACTCCTTTCTGCTTTTTGCCTTTTTCTGGTAGGGCGACGTAACTTTTTTCGGCCACTCTTAGAATAGGGATTATTTATGGTCAAATATTTTATTGTGATTGTTTATATTATTTTTGTTTTAAACATTGTCAAAGGGTGTCCCTTTGACAATATTTGTCAACGTTTGACCAGCTCTTCCGTGTGACCTATTTGAGATATCTTAACACATTTAGTACTCTCAGTACGCTAAGAGTATGCTCTATCTATTGATAAAAAGGACAGGGCAGTGTATTTTCGAAAGCAAAGACTATTTCAAATATTTTTTTTTTCAAATTGGAGGCCGATTTTTTTAAACAACCCACTTTTTACCCTGCTTATTTTTTCTCTAGCTGGCTATTGCAATGATATATAAGGTAATATAGACAGAAAATGTAATATTTTGTTTGCATGGCAGCCATAAAAGCTTGAAATTTGATATTGTTTGGCTGTTTTGTCAGTAAATAAACTTACTCGCAAATATACACTAATTCAAATTTCGCGACTCTTATTTTTTCGATAGATACCCGTGAGCACCCTTATTTTCTTATAAATAATTTTAGAACGATTATTTATACAAATATATTTTAGAAAATTTGCCATTATGATGTTTTGGAACAATATTTGTCAAAGTTTACCAGCTCTTTCGTGAGACCTATGTGACATGTCTTGACATGTTTAATATTTTCAGAAGGCTTAGAGTATACTCCTCCTAATGATAACACGTTTGATGTTGTGTGTAAAAAGAAAGGACAGTATTTTTTTGTAAAGCAAGGACTATTTCGATAAATTTGTGAATTGGAGGTTGATTTATAAAAAAAAGCCTACCTTTTATTTGGCCAATCATTTTGACTAGCTATCTATTGCACTTCTTTATAAAGTTAACTATTCAGAAAATGTAATATTTTGTTTGTATGGCGGCCATAAACGCTTACATTTTGGTTTTTATTCGCTGATCGCCCAGTAATACAAGCGACCCACAAAAATATACTAATTCATAATTCACGCATCTAAAATGTTTAGTAGCTACCTGTGAATTTTATTATTAAAAAAAGGTGGAAACGGCGAGTTATGCTAAATAAGCGTCTAGATGATAATATCTGTAATGTTTTTTTTTAATTGTCAAAAAGCCTCTCTGGAACAATATTTGACGAAGTTCACCAAGCTCTGCTGTGTGACCTAATTAATATAATTTTATGATCTTTACATCACCGTAAAGCTCCAATTAAGCTCTTTCTTATGCATATACTTTGAATATTTTGCGCTAGACATATAACGCGGAACATTTGCCTGAAAAAAAATGAATATTTATTAAAGCTTGCAAATTTTGATGTCAATTTTCTGAAACAATCCACTTTTTATTTCGTTCATTTTTATTCACAGTGAAGCAATATAGTAGTCTGTCTGAAAGTAACAACAGAAAGTGTATTATATTGTTTGTTTTGCCACTATTGGGACTCGAATCTTGCGCTATGAGAGTTCTGAACGGGACTTCGCGTAGACACTCAGCTGAGCAGAATTTTGAACTATGTAAGGTTTTGTATTTCATGTAAGAATTTAACTCAACATATGAGCGTAAAAATTGTGTAGCAACATTATTATCCCAACAATATTCATTTACTTGGCACTGGGGTGATTTGCAAGTTGTGTGTGAGCTTCGCCCTTTGTATTGACGGAGAAGATACGTAACATCTAGACTCCCGGACAAACTTCAGTCAAGAATAAAAAGTTTAGGTAACCGGGCATGAATTACTAGAATCTAAATGGAAACTAAACACATGACTGAGAACATTTGGAGCTTTACACGCTACAAGATATGCTCATTATTTTACAAAAGAGTACGTATGTGCAGGAAATAAACCGTACTTCTTAAGCGTCAGATACTAAATCGTTCATATGTATATGGACTGCATATCTGCTTGACAATAGAAAATATGACAATTACATATCAAGTTCTGTATTTTAAATTCAAAGCCGAAAGCAAAAGGCCCCAGAGGAATTCTCTAACGATCTGCATGTTCTCGTATTGGGAGGAAGTAAGCCCTGTGCCCGCACTTGTGGATACGGACTTCTAAGTAGCTTTTTCTCTGTGCACTACTCCGAATTTTATTAATATTTATGGTTAGATATTGAAGTAACTGCTAACGATAAATAGAAAACTTTATATAGGCCAAAATTCTGCACAGCAGAGCCCCTGTGCGAAGTCCCGCTCAAAACACTCATAGCACGAGATTTGCATATCTGTTCGACATAAAGAAATAGGACAATTACTTATTAAGCTTGCTATTTAAAAAAAAAAGCCGAAAGCAAAATGCCCCAGAGGAATTCTCTAACGATCTGCCTTTTCTTGTATTGGGAGGACGTAAGCGCTGTACCCGCACTTGTGGATACGGACTTTTAGGCAGCTGTTCTTAAGTGCACTACTACAAATTTCATTAATGTTTATTTTTAAATGCTAACGATAAATAGAAAACCTTATATAGGCCAAACTTCTGCTATAGCGCCTGTGTGACGTTCCGCTCAGAACGCTCACAGCATGAGATTCGAGTCTTAATGGCGGCCATACAAACAATGTATTACAATTCCTGTTGGTAGTTTGTGATAGACTACTATATTACCTAACGGTGAATAAAAAAGGTAAAAGGCGTGTGCATGTGTGTTTTTTGGTTTTTAAATAGACACGAAACTTGCTAGTTTTTTTTTAATATTCGTTTTTGGGGCTCATGTTGATATATATTGATGCTTAGCGAAAAATATCTAAAATATACTCAAAAGAAAGAGCTGAATTTGGAGGTTTACGGTGATGTAAATATCATAAAGATATGTTGATTTGGTCACACAGCACACCTTGCTGAACTTCGTCAAATATCGTAGAAACGCGGTTCGACAATTAAAAAAAAAAAAGAAACTTTAAGGCACTTTTGACCTAGACGCTTAATTAGCATAAAAAAAGCATATCTCGAGAGTGTTCCCAAAATGTTGTATTGATGTAGCGCAAAAATTAGGGAAAAGGAGAAAAGTGAAATGTGGAATTCCCGATAAGCTGGAAAAACGTCAGTTTCCACCTTGGCCGCTTGAACGGTTCATAACTTGAGGACGAAAAATCCGACGAACTTTCGACAAAATTTAAAAATTCGACCCAAAATATGGGCCTGAGTTGAGGTGAAATCACCCCTAAAGAAGAAAACGAAGACAGAATGCTAAGAGTTGTGAGTTCAGCGTTGTGTGAATGTTTTTCGTGCCTGTATTCAAGTGAGTGACTGTTTTGTCATACGTTTGTGCGCTGCGAAGTCATAAGATGGAAAACCAACTATCCCAAGCCGCTCTGTTAAGAATGGTTATATCACCCGTTCCCAAATACTAAACTCCGTCCGGAGTATTCCGGTATTGGGGTGCTTAAGCACAGTGAATGCCCCGTAATCTCGCGTTTTTCTCTGAATGCATTTATTTGATGACGACAAACGCGCAAAGGTGGTGAACACGGTGACGATACACTTTTGTCGCTGGTTTATTCGCACCATCCGGTAGTGGAGTCGGTTGCGATCCGACCTATACTGTAATGAAAGAGATTATACAACGAAAATAATTCAAAATCGTAAACATATATTAAAAAACCCACCTGGTGTACTATGTACGCCAAGTTTATCTATAATTTAAGCACCGTGGCGTTCTTTTTAAATGTATCTGCACAATCCCTACTGAAAAAAACCATTTGGCGCCCATATGAAAATAAACGGGTCCATACCGGTAACAGTTTAACCATACCGGTCACCAGTTTGTGAAAGGGGTCGCCCGTATGGCTCAAAGGGGTCCCCCGTATGAGCCATAACGGTCACCTAGTTGGACAAACAGGTCACTCCTCTGGCAAACGGGTCGCTCGTCTGGGCAAATGGGCGACTCGTTTGGGCAAAGTTGTCGCACGTTTGCTCAAACCGGTGACCATGTTGCAAACTGTACCGGTTTAATCAAACGGCTCTCCAGAGCCCGTTTGATATTGAACGTACAGATCGGCGGCGTGGGCACGCCTAGCGTTTCAGAAGTGGCTGCCAATGTTTCCGGAAGGCTGGGAGCGCCGGTTCATCGATTTAAGATCGTCCGCGTAATGCAAGTAATTATATTTATATTTCAATTGCGCTGATTTTCGATTATACTGCAACTAAAACTAGCACCTCTTTTCTTTTTTTTTTTTTTTTTTACGTAAACGCGCGACGTTGGT